CCCCTTCCCTTCCCAGCAAAACTTAAGACAGTACCAACGACGCTACAGTGAAAAGTGATATAGGAAAAACATGAAGAAGGAAGAAGAAACCAAGTGATTACATAAGAGAATATAATTGCAATATACATATAAACACCATGCGTACAATTTCTAATACAAACAGCATATCAATAATTTATACTATTGAAGAAGTTAATAAATTTTTCCAAAATTATTCAAGTAACCACTTCTCCATTTAAAAAAAAAAAAAGAACAAAAAGAAAAAAAAAGAATAGTTTAGTAATTGTTAAAAAGATAACAATCGAAAGAAAAATTGGTTTGGATAAATTGAAAAGAAAGAAGACTGTGAATTGAAGGAAAAAAAAATGCCGACGGACTGCACTAGAAACATTTGGCAACATCGAATTGACATGGACGATGTCTGTAGACAGGAAGGATAAAGGCGTTTTCGTTCTTTTCTTATTTTTTTTTTTTTTCGATAAAAGTAAACATCAGATGGGCTGTCTGGTCTATAGAAAAATATGAAAAAAAAAAGATTTCTATTTTTTTAAAAGCGTATCAGTTTTGAGTAATTAAGAAAACCCCTCTTTCTCCAGCTATTTACTTGTAAACTTCTCCCGCATGGTTAGTTCTCATCGTCGCCCGATACTACTACCATTGAAATCAGCGACACCACCATCATTATCATTGATATCATCATCAGTATCACCATCGGCAGTATCATCATCGTAACCATCAACAACATCGTCGTCATCACCATCGACACCATCACCATCATGTCTAGCCATCTGTTTAAGCAAAACCGAACCAGTATCATTTGCTAACATTCAAGTGATGTAACGATGACAATTTCCAGCTTCCAACAACTACCTGACTACATACACACGTACACAGAAACACAGACACAAGTAAATGCGTATTCGCATACAAACACAGCTACAGGAACCAGCGAACACACGCACACAGATTCGGTTGGCGATACAGGTAAAAAAAAGGGAAGTGAGGGAACGTGGAAGGACAGGGGAGTAACGAAAAAACTCCAAAACTAACAAAAATAGTTTTCTGTGTGGCATTGGGCAACGCTGATTTTTTTCCTTCGGGTAACGAATGTGCCGTCATCTGCTGGATTAACAAAAAAAAAAAAGCAGAGACCAAGGCTACATTCTAGTGTTTAGCAATTGGTTGACTGGACACAGCCTCCATTCTCCCAAACGAAGAGACAGACACATCCAAAAATACATCCTCCAAATGCATACATAAACGTTCCCAAAACAGCTAACCATCTCAGTTTGCGCAGAGAATTTTGCCGTTGTAGCTAATAGGAAAAAAAGCGTTCCCAACTTTGTAGAAGTCTTTTGAAACCTCTGCTCTGTCTTTATAAATTATGAAATTAAAAACGAAGGGGAAGGGAAAACGGCACAGAAAAAAGAAAGAGTTCCATTCTCCTTTACTGTTTTATCTCTGTTTCCATAGAAAACCTTTGCCCCTTTACTTAAAATTAAACTTGTTCTCTCATCCCATCCGCTTTATTCCCCGTAAATTTTTTTTGTTCCTTTCTCCTTCCTTTCTTCCACCATTTTCATAGAACGAACTGCCTTTACATTATAATAGCAGATAGTTAAAACTCATTTCTTTGCATCCTTAGATGTTTAAAAGCAAAAACTTCATTTGTAATTTCAAATGTGTTTCTAGCGGTTTCAAGCTTAATCAATACAAACTAAAAAGCGAAAAAAGGCATAAAATAAATAGCCTGGATCATATAGTAGACAAACGGCTAACAAAAATTGGTGTGGAAAACAACCACAACAAGTTCATTGTTTAGCTTTGCCTTTCATATCTTTTTTTTACCCCCATCCACTTCTTGGGTCCTCTTTTTTTGCCGGTATCGGCAAGGAAAAGTCACTGGAATTCCATGGCAATTTTTCTTCGTTCCCTTCCTTAAAATAAACTTCAAATGATATTTGACACGGCTCCATCCCTCAAATAAATTATCTTACATTTAACGTTTAGTGTGTAACGCACAAATACACACTTCTGCTCCGGCCAGTTCAAATTTTCTGTAATTATGATAATAATGTTGACGGCAATAACGATGATTATGGTGATAGCAATAATAATAACAGAAATAATAGTAATAATAGTGATAACAATAACAATAACAACAACAATAACAATAACAATAATGATAACAATAATGAAAAAATAAAATCGTTAACAATAACAATGATAAGGATATTAAACTAGAAAAAATGGATAAGAAAAAATATGATCAGTAATAGTAACAGTAATGATAATATTAACAACAGTAGTAACAGTAACAATAGAAATACTAGCAATAGCAGCAGTAGCAATATTGATACCAATAGTAACAGTAGTTGTAATAACAATAGCTGTATTGATAATCAATAAAATAAAGCTAACAATGACAATGACAACAACAGTAATAGTAATAATAATTGAGGTAATAGTAATAGTAAAAGTGATGGTAATCATAGTAATGGCAATAATAAAAGCGTTCCTACCTCAATGACCTCTGACCACTTAGAGCCTAATAACATTTTATTCTAACTACTTATTTATTTATTTAAGACATAAGGAAGTATACTTCTTATCTTGTAAACAACAACATAAAGGGAAAAAACGAAATATCGTTAACACTCAACATTAAATTTTGTTTAAATACCTACTGATTATGGAAACCAACTTGGTGCTACTTAAACCACGTTCGAATACATTATACTTTCAGCTCTTTTATTTTTATTATTACTAATTTATATTATTGCTGT